CTTTTCGAACTCTGCTCGTCGGGGATAAAATAAATGAGAGACGACGTTCACTCTCATCCAAAGAGAGAGAGAGAAAGAGAGAAAGAAAGAAAATCCAAAAAAGAAAGAAGCCGAACTACGTCGAATGAGTTTGAGTTTTTGAGAGGCTGACGAACCAATCACGGGGCCATCTATAATGTACACAGTACGTTAACGATGGAGACCAGAGACACACCGGCGCTACCGTATGCCATCGGACCTCGAGCCATTTTCCAAATATCCGAGCCGAATACTCTTTCTACTCCTCCTCCTCCTCCTACTCTTCTTCCTCCTCATCCTCATCCTCCTCCTCTTTCTCTACTATTCCTAACGGTCCCTGGAAACCTAACTCCGTCCTTTTCTCATCGTGAGTGGAACAGTTCGACGGACCATCGATGCTAAAACGTCCCTGGAATCGTTAATTCCTCTCAATATTGCAACTCCCATCGATAGACACGATTTTCAACGAAAGAGAAAGAGATAGAAGAAGTTAGAGAATACGCGATGCATTTTTCATCCTGTTTTCAGATTCTCCTTTCTTGAATACCAATGTAAAGATTTGTTTTAACAAATCCTATTTTTCTTGTTTTTTTTTTTTTTTCATGATTTATTTATCACGAGTTTTTCAAAAACCAATGCAATTAAATTCAGGAATAATAAAATTGAGAATAGTTGGTTTTATCAAATTTGTCATTGTGTAAATTCATCAAAAATGTATTTTTAATTAGATAGGCTGTGCAACAGAACAAAATTTATCTGAACAATTGCATCATCTACAAATCTTTTAGATTTTTATCTGTGTTGACAATTAAAAAATATTAGATTCAACCTTATGGGTTTCTGGACGACTGTCGTCGTATCATGGTGCGAATGAACGTAAAGAGGGGTTGGTCACTAATAAAATCATTCCTATTCCGAGGGGTTGAATTTCGCGTTTTCAAACACACGTACGAATACCTTCTCCCTTTTCTCTGCCCATCCACCCACTCATCCCTTACTCCTCAAGTAGGAGGAATGAAAACTGATTATGCGAGCGCATGACAACCCTTGGCGCGATTTAGTATTAAAATATTATGACAAATGTCAACAAGAGTTTCTCGAACTATAGTCCTGTCGTCGTTTCTGATTGGCTCGTGAAAAACTTGAATACGAAACGAGACAAATGATGACATTTTTCTACTCATTGTCAGTGAAAATCTTTGTTTTCCCATTTCCTTCTAACTAATAAGATAGAAAAAAAAAAGATATAAAATTTGATTGATATATCAATTGACTTTTCGTTTAATTTTATTTAAAAAAAAAAAAAAAAAAACTCATCAACTATTTTTCAATTTAAACATTTTAATTAATCTCTCGTTTCATATTGGGGAAAGCATTTACAAGCATTTCTTTTTTTCATTCTTTTCTTTTATTATATCTGTATATGTGTGTGTGTGTGTGTGTGTGTGTGTATTGAGAAGAGCTTATTTTAACGATATTATTCCGCGTTAAAATTTGAATAAGGGAAGGTAGGGAGAAAGCTCGCGTAAATATCGAACGAAATCCGAAATGGTCGCTTTGATTGGTAACGATGTTGACACGGAGTATAAAAAGTGTGCTGAGTAAACGTTCCCAATCTGTATACTCGCAACGCGTTTAAAATCTAACGATATCCATATTCCACCTATATACCTTTGGGCGTAAAACATCGTAGAGATCACGTGGAAGGGAGGGATCGTTCTGATTGATCCAAAAAAAAAAGAAAGAAACAAAAAGAAAGGAAACATATTTTAAAACAAAATCACGGTCAGATATTTGTTATTGATCGTGTTGCATGATCGAACACAACGTAATATACAAAAATTACGATTAATTAATTAATTTAACCTCACACTGTATAACTGTATAAATGTAAATACTAATAATAATTTTGATTGAAATGAAATTTGACGTAATCGATAAAAAATTGTCATCTCGTTAAACATCCCTTCGTGTTTTATTTTTTACGACTTATGATGTACGAGTAGTAATCGTTGTCTTTGAGCAACAAAACACACGCTTTCTCGTTGACTCAATTGAGTTGTAAATATACTCACACACACACACACACACACACACATATACATAATTAAGCATCTTGCACAGTATATATCTTTCTAAATATACAAACCCGGGTTTTTTTTTCTTCTTCTTCTTTTTTTATTTCACATCTACGAGTCATCGAAGTCACGTAACAAACAAACATTGTAGACCACATCAAACGACCATCTCTGAGAATAACTCTCATTCGCATATTATGCCTTTAGGAAAATATTGAAACATCCATTAGTCTACTTTCAATCCCAAGAGTCTTCATCCTTAGCAAGGATTATTATTCACCGATAATATCGGAGAAACAAATGCTTCGAATGTTTAAAATACTTCAAGAAAGAACAGAGAGAGAGAGAAAGGGGTAAATAAATACGAACATGTAAAGAAGAAATTCATATACACTCGTGAACGATGAATGAGTCGTTGATTCATCGATATAAGAACTAAAAATAATAATAATAATAATAATAAAAAGAAGAAGAAGAAGAAGAAGATGAAAATGTTAGAGACAGAAAATAAATCCAAACAGTAAACAGTGTTTGGTTCAGTAAGATAGCTTAGGGAAAATTTTAATATATAAAAGATATGAAGAGAGAGAGAGAGAGAGAGAGAAAGATGGAAGAGTTTCTTACCAAACCCACCCTCGTCAACCTCCTGCATTTTGATTTCAACAGAGCATGGAAGACTTCTTCTCTTCCTTAGAGATTCAAATAAGTGCCGATACTAGGGTAAAAGTAGTAAGGAAAACGCAGTGGTTCCGATGTAGTCAAGAAGATGACGAGAAATGAAACAGTAAGAGAAGGAGAAGAAAGGTTTGGAAGGGAGAGAGAGAGAGAGAGAGAAAGATGGAAGAGTTTCTTACCAAACCCACCCTCGTCAACCTCCTGCATTTTGATTTCAACAGAGCATGGAAGACTNCCCCTATTACTTCGTTCCATCGTAAGAAGAAATCTGAACAGCTAACAACAAACGCACCCCGACCTTTATTTAACCTTTTCTTAAAAGAGTCTTAGGAGTCCTTCTTATCTATAGTCGATGGCCCTTCACTGTCGGCCCTTATACTTTCATTCTTTCCTTACCCTTATATACATACACATACACATATATACATATACTTCTTTTCCTTTGGTCTTTGTCGTGTACACACATCGACCTACCTACTTTCCACCACCTCTCACTCATTCCATACCCAAAACCCACCCCACCCCACCCCACCCTACTTAAACTTTCTTATTCTTTGCAGTCATCGTTCTTGGACGAGCGTTCAACCCTACCAACCTTCGTTTTTAGATATTTAAGATTCTTCTTTTCGTTAAGATACAGAAAAAGAGAGATGAATATAAAGCTGGGTTAAAAAAAGGGGGTTGGTTGGTGGGTGGTAGAAGGAAAGGTCTCGACATCGTTCGTATTAATTAGCGAATTAAAGGATCGCGATATGGCGAGGGTTAAGCAGCAGCAGCAGCAGTAGCAGTGGTAGCAGTAGTAGCAGTAGCTAAACCTAAAGTGGATTAAAAACTCGTGCCGATCGTTGCTTCTCATTCATTTCCTTGAGTAAACGAAACTCCTCCACCACTCGTGGAGCTTATGATTTTAACGCTGAAAACGAAGATAGACGGTCCAACCGATCTTCTTATTAATTTTTTTATCATGATGATGTTGTTAAAAAAAAAAAAAAAAAAAAAAAAAAAGGATGAACAAAAGAACAAAATACTTTGTTCGTTTTGAAGCTAGGTGACCATAAACGAATTCATATCTTATTGTTTCATACTTTCTATAATAATGGTGGTGATGTTGGTGATTTAGTTTGAATGATTTTACTCAAATGATGTTCCTCAAAATACAAGCACTCGAGATGAGAAATACTTCGTTCATCCGTTCGAATTTATCTACGGAATTATCTTCGAAACTGTACGTACCTTTTTACATTTGATGTACTCGAAGAGAACGTTTCTATCTTCCAACACACATATATCGTGGACACCAGTATAGTCACCTCACTACCTACCATCACCAGAACCAGGACCATAGAATCGAGCAAGCCCTTTTCTTTTGTTTTCCTTTCGGTGCCAACTCCTCCTCGGTCCAGCATTTGCTTTTTTCTCAACTTCGGCAGACTTCGTCGAGTGCAGAAGCGCGGTGGTACGCGCTGACGCTCCTCCTGACTAAACACTGATAACGCACGAGACCGGGGAATTTCTTTGCATGTTATAAACATACGTAATCGTACACAAATAAGATTAGCATAGGACTCGACCTAACCAGGAGGTTTGAATTTACCACTGACTCATGTGCTCCCTTGAACTTTTTCTTTTTCACTGTTTTTCTCTTTCTTTCTTTCTTTCTTTATTTCTGTCTTTTTTGTCTTTTTTGTCTGACTTCAAACTCCTCACACCCCCGTCAATCCTTTCCCTACTGTTTTTCATTTTCTACGAACTTACATTAGAACCAAGAGACAATGGTATCGTGAGAAAAACAGAAAACTCATTTGAAAATGTTTTTACGTTCATAATTTTGAAGAGATATTTTAGTGAATTAGTATGAAGAACAAAATCTAATAGATGTCATAATCTATTTAATGGTTTAACAATAGTATTTAATCAGTAGAACCATTAGATAAGATCGATATTATCCAAAATACTTGTGGAAAGTAAAGTAAAGTGTATTATAACACACGATTTGATCATTTCCCTTCGAGATTGCAGTTTAAGGTAATTTCATTCTCTTATCTATCAATTTATATTTGTAGATAAAAATAGAATTGAGTAACAAGATATTTTTATATGATCATTTCAAATAGATATGTATTTATTCTTGTTCGATTTGAATTATTCCCGTAAATTTTTTGTTCGTTCGTGAAAGAAGCTCGTAACCGACTTTGATCGAGCTCCCGATCTCCATTTTCGTATTTGCAGGCTACTTCGCTATTTGCAGCGTTGAAGCAGCAACAACAGTCGCGCGAAAACGTATCATCTTCGTCGCGGGATCGGGAGAGCCGTTCAGAAAGAGAACGTCACTCGATACGTGCTAGCCGAGAAGGAATAGGAAGGGGTACTGGAGTTAACGAAGCCACAGGTGGTAGCGTTGTCGATCAACAACAACAACAACAACAACAACAGCAACAACAGCAACAACAATCACAGTCACAGCAACAACAACAGCAGCAACAGCAGCAACAGGAACTTACCATCGAATACCAAAGCAATGGGAAGCTCAGTCCTGCTGGACGCACAGTGACAGCAGCACCCATGACCCAGCAAAAGCAGCCCATTATCGCCCAACATTCGCAACAACCGAGCTCGGGTGCACCTGGTCTTCAGCCCAGCCCTCATCAAAGTCCACAGGTAAGAATATTCTTCCTTTATTGAATTTGTTCAGTTATCGTTAGAATTGTTTTTTAATAAATGATTTTATCATTAACAGGCCCCTCAACGGGGATCACCGCCGAATCCTTCGCAGGGCCCACCGCCCGGAGGGCCTCCGGGTGCTCCACCATCTCAGAATCCTTCTCAGATGATGCTCAGCCCAGCGAGCGGCCTTCACCAAATGCAACAATTGTTGCAACAACACATACTCAGTCCTGGCCAACTGCAGTCCTTCCTGCAGCAACATCCCCTTTATCTTCAACAACAACAGCAACAACATCATCAAGTGATATTTCATTTCAAATTGTCATTAGACAAAACATATTTGTGTATGTTCATTTTTTTACATAGAAAAATTATTTGGTTATTTGCAGGATTCCGCGTCCGATCATGCGCCCACTCAAGAACGTTTTGGTTATTTCTCATTGAAAAGCGTAAGGATTTTTATCGATGTAATATACGTAGTAACTAGACGAAGTTCGTTTTCTTTTAAAAGAACAAACAGTCTACTAGTTAGTTATCGAACACTTTCCCTAGCAAACTAATTTCTTCGTACTTTCAACGATCGCGTTTATATTTTTAATTAGAAAATTCAATTATCTAAAGTACATTTTTCTTCGAAACGTTGTAAACAATAATCGAGGCTCTTTCTCTCTCAGTTTAAAATGCATTATTTCTCTCAGCTTACTCATCAACTACTACTACTACTTCAAATAAGTTTCAACTTTATTAGAATTCGATGAAATTTATTTACCAAAGTAAGCATCGACGTTAGAACTAGAGTCTTGTCTCTCTTTCTCAAAAGTTAACACATTTCACTGGGTTGCACGTTGGATCTTACCAACCTAAAAGCCTTCAGTGAATTTGGATGCGATCGAAGAATATCCAACGTAGTCGAGGAAGTTGGCTCGCTTAACGGAGAGAGGGTTGATACTCGGTCTGTGCAAACAACCAGTCCCTTCCATATCGTTGCGATAACAATACGCATAGTATAAACCATTCTCAGGAGCCCACCTATAACATAGGCATCCACCTAACCTTATCATATCACTCGCCAGGTCGACCAACAACGATATACCACTTTTCTAACTTTAAACTTTGTATATATGTGCGTGTAGGGGGGGGCGGGGGGGCAGTTTCTGTTAGCAGACAAATTTGTTAATAAATTCGATGACTTGTACAACACATGTTTTCTAATTTTTTTTTTGTATTATTATTATTTTTTTTTTTTTAAATAGGAAATTATGGTAACGTTTTAAACTGTCCCCATTGGCGTAGAAATAATAATATGTCCAGGTCGATTAATCTTGCGGGCTCCTTATTTCTAGTAATACGATAAAGGGACGTCTGCCGCGAAGTTTGTTTTAAAATATCCTCGAGGCTAAGGGAAGGAAGATCGAGAATGAAGTTGACTAAGGTAGGGAGTAGAAAAGGGAGAGATAGGAGAGAGAGAAGGGAGGTGTTCCAAGGGCGAGGTAAGCAATTAAGCATCGCCATCAGCCGTTGTGTCTCGTTGTTTGTCTTCGAGGTACCCATCAACTGCCCTCTGTCTTCTTCTTCTTCTTCTTCTACTTCTTCTTCTTCTTACCTCCCTGGCGAATTATCTGAGACATCGTGATTTATTCATCAACCTTGGCAGACGATGCAAGACCCTTTTTTTTTTTTTATTTCTATCTAACCTTCCTTTTTTTTCTAAATAATTGGCGTTTATTGAGAATAAAATAAAAATGAAAAACTAACTTTGTTTTCTAACATTATCAATGTTAATTATACAATGTTTATCTTATTATTCTTGGTCTTACTTACTTTAGCAGCAACATCAGCTGGCGGAACTCGGTAGAAAACAGTTGGAACAGGCTATGCAACAACTGCAAGAACAATTGCAATTGAATTTGATTCAACAAACTCATCTACTTCAAACAGCCGATAAGAAAAAAGCATCAGGTCCTTTACAACAGTTGGCACTTCAACAGCAACAATTGGTACAACAGTTTCAGATCACGCAGAGACAATATTTGTTACAACAAGGTCTCGGTCTACAAAGTCACAATCCTTCGTCAGGTATTTTTATTATTTATATCCAATTAATTATTTTGTAAGATGATTATATATTAATCAATTCTATTAATCGAGTACTTGATTAAAAAAAAAAAAAGAAAACAAACAAACAAACAAACAAAGAAAAAAAAACAGTAGTCACGCGTTAAAGATGTTTCCCTTTTTGATTTGAAGAAGAACAAGCCCATCGGCACCACCTGCAACACCAAAAACTCTTCTTTACGTTGAACGCTATCCAGACAAGCACCCTCCGTAGGGACCCTATAGGTACCCTCTCGTACCTACCCTTCGCCCTTTTCCTGCCTCTCTTTCTCTTTCAGAGTAATCCAGCAAGAACTACCATCGTATTCGTTGTTGTCTCTCTTTCTCATTTCCCCCCTTATTCTTTTCCATTCTTTTTACCCCAAGCTAAACTTTTCCACGTACAAGTGTTTCGGTTGCGGTCGATCTCGTTTGACTATGTTATTCTTTCTTACGCGACTGTATAAAGTAGAGAAAGAGAGAGAAAGAGAGAGAGAAAGGTAAAAGACTGGCACGAAAAGCAGCAGTCAGAGGTCACACGCTTCTTTTCAATTCGAAAATTTCTGTGTGAAACAAATTGATCTTTTATTAACTTATTTCTTTTTTTTTTTTTTCAATTGACTATTTGTTTGTACATTTATTTTGTAATTACATTAAATGATGCTAAGCCTAATTTATTTAAAAAACAAAAATATTCTCCTTATTTTATTTCATTAAAAAAAAAAGAGTAATTATTTTCGTTCAGTCATTAAATCATCAAATTTGATTCTATTTTATACAATTTTTATAATATTAAATGAAAATATATCATGAAAAACATATACATTTGTAAATGATTTAGGTTTACAACCAGGAGAAGGATTACCAACATGGAAGTCCGAAGCATCAGATGGTTCGGAATCTCATCAAAATTCCAATGTTCCAAAATCTGGAGGATTAAATGGTACAAATTATTTGCTTTTTTGTTTTTTTTTTGTTTATTACTCGTTGCAATATTTCATTAGTATTTTTTGACTTGACATTATTTAAAATGTATAATTTTGTCTCTTGTTCTATCCTAGGACTTTTAAATTCGATAGTTTCGGGTCGGCGATCGGAAATGAACGGTACGACGCCGTTAGACGAAAAACCACTCGATGTTTCCTGCAACGATAAAGCTCATCCCCTTTACGGTCACGGGGTTTGCAAATGGCCGGGCTGTGAAGTTATTTGCGACGACTATCAAGCATTCCTTAAGTGAGTATTAAACTTACGTTTCATTATTTCTTTAAATATGAAACTCACAATTTGATAGAAAACCTTCTATATAGTTAAAACCTTGTCAGGTGTTACTTTCATGACACACACATTCATTCTTTTTTTAATTTCGAACCAGTAATATCTATTAATAAAAATACGAATAAAAGGGATGAGTGTTCAATAAAAAAAAAAAAAGAGGATAAAAGAAATCACAGTAAGCGAGAAAGAGAATACGAATAAAAAAAAAAAAGAGATGGAAGTCGCTGAAGTCAGCGTATCTTTTTCTCATTGACAAACCGCAGCTTTTCGCTTAGAGCTTTCAAGCTTCGAAGTCGGCTCTCGAAAATCTTAGTAATCACGTAGCTGGCTGCTGGCTCGTCGGCGCGCGAGTCGAGACTCCCTCNAACGATATTTATTTATTAATCTACTTTTCTTTTTTTATAATTTATGTTTAGTAATATCGTTTAGAAAAAAAAAAAAAAAAAAAAAGGAAGAAAAAGGAGAAGAAACGAACCAGACCAAGATAGAGAGTGTGTATGAGAGAGAGAAAGAGAGAGAGAGAGAGAGAGAGAGAAAAAAAAGAAAAACGCTAATTACCTTTGTCTCATTAATATTCAGGACATTCGACCGCATCGTTATGCCCCTCGGTCTAATCCCTTTGCGGCCCTACCCCTCTCCCTCAGCCCCATCACTCCCCTTCGCATCACTACCTTACTCTCTCTTTCTCTCTCTCTCTCTCTCTCTCTCTTTCTTTCTTTCTTTTTCGTCTTGGACTCTCGTCAAAACCAACTACCCTCACCCCCTCACCCAACACCACCCTCCTATCTTACCTTCTTTCTTTCTTTTTAACATACAACTCGGCTTCCTACGCGTTTTCTTTGTTCCTCTATCGAATTCTTCTTCTTCTTCTTCTTCTTCTTCTTCTTCGTCTTCTTATTCTTTTACTTTCTCTTTTTCTGTCGAAACAGCAACCACGCTGAAATCGTTCATTCGTAAGAGAGAAAATTCTTAAACGTTAAATCTCGTTTGGTAAAACACCCCCCTTTTTTTTTACAACCAACTCTCATTCTCCAACACTTTCAACAATTTTTTCTCCTTGAGAAATTCGTGATTGGTGATTTTTGATTGATCGTCATCTTTTTTTTTTACTTTGATATAGAAATCTTCAAAAAGTTTTCTTTTTTTATTCGAAAGATTGTTTTTAATTTTTTTAATTTAATTATAAAAATGTGCGCCTGTAGATATGCAACCCTACAGACACAATTTGAAAATTCTGCCCGAAAGATAGGCAATGCGTAATACAAACGTGTATAAACAGTTTAAGCTTAAAAAAAATTTCGTTCCAACAGATGTCGCTCGCAAGCAACATTTTCAAAGTGTGTCTGAAGGGTTGCATACCTACAGGCGCAATATTTTTTATAACTAATGATAAAAATTGAACTTTAATCTTGTAATACATATTTTTAGAAATAACATTTATTATCTTACATGAAAATTAAATGTTTCAAGATTAAAATTAATCAGTGTTAGACATCTAATGATCTTTGTAAAAATAATGAATGATTAGAAAATTGTTTGTATGAGTAAAAATGATAAATCATAATCGCAGGCACTTAAACACGGAGCACACGTTAGATGACAGATCGACGGCACAAGCGAGGGTACAGATGCAAGTGGTCTCGCAATTAGAGATTCAATTGCAGAAGGAACGGGATCGTCTCAATGCCATGATGCATCATTTGCATATGGCAAAACAAATGGCTTCCCCTGAACCACCTAAATCTTCCGAGTCTTCGGTGAGTACACAATCATATCAATTAAATACAATTTTTCCAATTATTATACAATCAACATATTAAAAAAAAATATTACGATACGATTAATACCAAAAAAAAAAAAAACAAACAAAAATAAAATCAAATACAAATATTTTATTATTTAATAATAATTTTTTGTGGAAGATAAAAAAATTTAATTGGAATGTGAAATGTAAGAGAGAGAGAAAAAAAAAGATGATAATGATTATTAACGAATAAGATTAAAATAAGAAACAAAGTTCAATGATATAAATACAGTGTCTATTATATATTTTGTAAAAGGAATGACTATAGTAACGAGGGTTCTCGTTATCGCGTAAACTCTTCTCTCGCGGGAGGAATACGAGTAGACGAGAGTCGTAAAGTCGGATATTCAGGACGGTTTCATCGTCGTTTTGTGAATTTTACGAGCACTCCTTCTTCGAACGAAGGCCAACGTCAATGACGCTATTACAGCAACACCCAACAACGCGAATATCCAACCGAATTATCATCGTCCTTGTTTTCTGGGTTTTGCGGTTTACCTTTGTACGCTAATTTATATACATAAAATCTATTTTAATTATTCAGTAGAGACGGGGCAATTTTCTAACGTCTTCATTAAAATCTCTAACAAGAAAGCACACCGTTTGGAGAATGCCAATGTTCGTGATAATTTTCTTCAAATCAAATGTGAGTGGGGTGGGTGGTGGTGGTGGTGGTGTAGGGATAGTAGAAAAGGGATGAATTCTTAATCAATTTAACGATCAAATTTTCTACCTTGTTCGTTGATTATCAAAGACACGTCAGATTTCGTTAAGATATTCCACCTGATCAAAGGATTATGCACTTAATATAAAATATCTTTTTTAATAAATTACAATTTATATCATTTGACAAATATGAAATGAAATAATTTGTAATCATAATTTTATAATAGAAACAAAAAAAAAGATACTAAAAATGTGAGTTAAATAAAAAAAAAAAAAAATAAAATTAAAAATGTATTAAAAATAAAGACAGAGAAATAATAATAATAATAATATTTATATTATCTTATTTATTTCGTTGAAGAAGGAATTCGACGATTGCTTTCAGACGGGCTCGAGTTTACCAAAGTTGAATTTGTCGACGGCTTTAATGAGCCAGCCACCACCGAACTTTGGTGTTTCCCAGGTTTCGCCAGTTTCAATGTCGGCACTAGTCTCGGCAGTGAGATCACCAGCAGGTGGACAACTGCCACCATCCGCTGGCGGTACGGCGATGCCACCGATACCAAACATGTCCAACATGTCGGGTATGCCACCTTTACCAAACATGCCTGGAACTCCTGGAAGCATGCCGAGTATGGCTGGACCGATACGACGACGAATCAGTGACAAATCGTCTTTATCCTTAGCTGGAGGTAATATCCATTCCCTTATATTATTTGTTTATAAATTCATATATTTATATTTATATATTTATAATTAATTATAATGTGTAAACGTAATTTTATATATGTCGGTGGTAATTTTTTTAGCAATGAAGGGGGGATCAGTGTTTAAATAAAAAATTCATTTTATGATTAATTTGAATATTTGATATATGGTATTAATTTATATATTAAATAATCTTAATATATATATAAATTACGTGTCACGTTGTTTGTTCTCAATGGATTCCTAAACTACTGAATCGATTTTAATCAAATTTTCCACACTGTGTGCAGTTTTATCCAACTTGAAAGATAGGATAGTTTATACCTCAATTTATAATTATATAATCATATATTATAAATAATTAGGTTATATGAAAATTAATTGTTCGTGATGCAAATTAATTTATACTTGATACAAATTAACAATTGATACTTCAAACTTCATTTAGAATTTTCTAATATTTTGATTCGTGAATTAATTTTTATTTTGGAATTGCAATAAGTAATGCATTTTCGTCATTATTGTTAATTCCAAATAAAATCATAAAATGAATTTTTTGTTAATGAATTTTTCTACCACGTATATTAAAACCCGATGATTAAATCTTTTTATATAATTCAATATCGTCCGATCAAATGTGTTTTTCTACGGCCAATGTAAGTTTGATTAAAAAAAGCAACAACAACAACAAAAAATGTAATATTCCAAAGTAGAAACTTCCGTTTTACCTTAATAATCAAATGGTACGATGTTATTACATCGTAAATCTTTATTAATTATTTCCACACACACACAAAAAAAACATTGTATTTCAATGATTATAATTATATGTTACAAAGACTAATGTATTTTTTTGTATTTTTTCCAATAACAAAAAAAAAAACGAACTAATTGTAAATTTGAGATGACGAGAAAGGTAAAACGAAAGGTGTATAAAAAAAATTCAGAGATTTAAATACTATTCGTAGGGCTGTATGAGGAGGGCACTGTAAGGCGCAGAGTAACCATCGATAGATCTGGATTAGATATTAATGAAGGTAATAATGATTAAAAGGAAATAAAACTCTCGGGATGAATTTTACGAACCTTTACATGCTTGATATTACACACACACACACACAAAAAGTCCCTATATATTTGATCCGTCAACATTCGTATTAAATTTCTTAACAATTTTTCTAAGTAAAATAGTTTGATAACCGTAACCAAAAAAAATTATGTACAAAATATGGGCATGTCATGGTTCGTTGAAAATCATTCGTATTTTTTATCCCGAGAGAATCAAAAANAAAAAAAAAGTAAAAAAATAAAAAGAAAAGAAGAAAAGAATAAATAGCTGCAAAAAATCCCAAAGCAGAGATGCTCTTTACGGTTCCTCTCTCTCTCTCTCTTTCTCTTTTTCTCTCTTTCTCTTTCTATCTTTTTCTATCACTGCGGTATTTAAATGTAATATATATATATATATACATACATTTTTTATATGACACCTTGTTGGCGATATGGGACAAGTGTATAGGTAGAAGGGAAACTATAAAAAAAAAAAACAAATAAACAAAAGAAATAGTTATACACACACACACAAGACAATTAATTAATTAAATAATATTAATAATTAAATTAATTGTTCTCATATGTGTGTTTTTCTATTTCTCTATACAAGGGATATTTAATTAATGCAAAAAAAAAAAAATATAAAAAAAAAAAACCCTAAATTTTCTTATCGATACATTTTGTTCTTTCCTTTTACTTTTTGTGCTGCCTGCCCTCCCCACCGTGTAGGGCTGCCCTACATGCTGGAGCGTGCTGGCCTTGACGTCCAACAAGGTACTGTCAAAAAAAAAAACCTTCTCTCCACTATCCCATGATGGCTTTTTATTTAATTCTTTTTCTTTCTTTTTTTTTCCTCAAAAAAAAAAAAATTCATGGATTCATTTTATCATTGACGATAGTACAACGCTTCATTTTGCATGATTTTCATTCAAAAAAAAAAAAAAAAATTAAGTTCTTTGTGTCTGACACGTTAAAAAATATTTTTAAAAAATTTGTCATTGTTTTTTTTTTTTTTTTTTAATCTTTTGATTCAATTCAATTTAATTTTACCTAATCAAATTTTATTAAATAAAAAATAAAAAATATTACGTGCTTTAATTAAAGTTGATTCGTTCACGTTTGACACCAAGAACTTAACCTGAGATCGTTTTCTGTGTTCCACTTATTTTTTCAAATTTTTTTTCTTTTTTTTTTTTGTATTTCACACAAAATTGCAAATTAAAGACAATAGAAATAAAACAAATGAATATTAAATAAAATAAAACAACCCTACGTATTCGTAAAACCATTTTTACGCGACACTTAATTTACTTAAAGTTAATGCTTTGCCGCAATGTGGTTGCACCCACCTGCTTTTTTAGTTTTTATTTCGCTTAATCTACCTAATTAGTTAAAAAATAAAAAGAATTATGCGTTTTATTACATGCATTTATATAATTTTCATTTACATATTTACATACGAAATTTGACAATAACATACAACGATACTACAATCATTTTTCTTTCCTGACAACTTTTTTTTTTCTTTTCTTTGCTTTATATACCTGATTTAAGATCACCTGTAATTAACTAGCTTATCGATTATTTCATGATTTATTTCTAAAGTGGAACAATAACCTCCAAATTCATTGTTCGTATTTTCTTTTTTCCATTTGTAATATCATTATTATTATTATTATTATTATTATTAATTATTTAATTTTGTTTAATATTGCAACACATTTTAAAAATACATTCGCACATTTTACCTGATATATTCACGTACACACACATACATACATACATACATAGATACATACATATATATTTATAATTGGTTGATCGAATTATATCTTCAGAATTAAATCTTGATTCTGAATTTCAGAAATTCAACGAAATAGGGAATTCTACAAAAATGCCGATGTCAGACCACCCTTCACGTACGCATCCTTAATTCGACAGGTGAGTTATCGCAATGAATTATTTACAAACGAATTATTTCTTCATTGATTTTTATAATAATACTACCCTATTATCCTACCTTCATTCCACTCATCATCATCATCATCTTATCTATCGTGAATTTTCATCTACGTTTAAATAACATTTAAACTCGTCAGAAATTAAACGTTTAACGAGCAATTGCATCTGTTAAAAAAAAAAATGTCACGATGATTAAACGTGTGTCATTTTCGTGCTCACAAATTTTCTATCGAGGGGTGGGAAGGGTTAGGGGGGAGAAGGGGCCAGGGTTATAACAAAGTCTTCCATTTAATTTCCATCTAATCGTCTTTAGAACCCCCCACCCGTCTTTTTCAACAACGGCCCCCCCCCCTCTTATCCTTAACCTGTTATTTTCTTCGTGGCTGAAGAAACGTCTGAGAAACGAGTATGTGTAAGGTAGATTCAATTATTAATCTAACAAATTAGAATTGAAATTAGTATTAGAATATCGAATGATTAAGAAGAACAAAAAAAAATGGAATAATTGAAGTGTTGATTTTTGTTTTTTTTTTGCTATAGTCCATCATCGAATCACCAGATAAACAACTGACGCTCAACGAAATTTATAACTGGTTCCAAAACACATTCTGCTACTTCCGGCGAAATGCAGCTACGTGGAAGGTATATCTTAATATTGGTTTTTGTTTTTTTTTTTCCATAGTATTTTAATACTCGAAAGGGTCTTATGGTCAAAATAAAAAAAAAAAAATTCGATGGAAGAGAAATGTGTCAAAAGAAAAGAAAACAAAACAAAACAAAACAAAAAAAACAGAAAAAGTAAAAAAAAAAGTAAGAAAAAAAGTTATGGAAAGTGAAGAAGGTGAAATACAAGATGGAGTGTCCAATCATCGACGAGAAATCATATAATTACCATGATTTGAAAACTTCTGTTGCAAGGGAAAGGTTTTTTTTTAGCGATCCAGCACAGGTGGTGATGGATTTTGTCCAAGTACAAAAAGTTGCATAAAATGTTTCTACGTTTTCTTATGCTTTTATGATGATACTCAAAATATCGGTAAAGTATATATATATATATTTATAAGTATATACATTATTTATATACCTGCAACATATTATATTGCAATTGCAATAGTTTCAAGCTTTATGATAGTAGTTCAATCGTACGTGTGCTGATAATTCTGACTAATGAATTAATCAAACATTTATTTTATGATTTATTTCATAATGCAACTAATTATTGGATTGTTCGGAAAGTAATTTTGTTTTTCTTTTCTTTTGTAAAAATGAAGACAATTTTTGTTTTGAAGTTAAACCTTAAGGCCTTTCAAGTAGGCATAAACAATTAAATTTGATAAATTTAACATCTCATTGATGTCACGTGTTTTTAATTGTCAGTTTGCATTCAACTAATGTCAAAATTGTGTCAGGAAAAAAAAACGAAATTACTTTCCGTATAATACAATAAAATAAATCATAAAATTGCAATTTTGTTTTTTTTTTTTTTTTTTAACTGTAAATTCATTGTAAATTATCAGCATACACAAATCGGTGTGTGTGTATTTGAGCACGTTAAGAAAAAAAAAAAGAAAGAAACAGAAACAATAAATAAGAACAGAACAAGTTTTCATTTCATGAATCGCTCGATATATTTACGTTTCATATTTATTATGTATAAATAATATAGGTATAATTTGATATTAGAAAATAATAGGATATCATTACCCAAATGGATAATGGATTGATTATTCATCGTTGGATGTTCAACAAATTCATTATTTTTCTACATAATGTAGATACATACTGTTGAATGCGCTATTGTTTTGATTATTGGGGAATACAAAAAAAAAAAGAAAAAATTATGGGAGAAGCTTTATAATCATTTATTTCGAATGTTTTTACGTATTTCTATATTTCAATCAACAGGTTAATTGCAAAGTGCCGATTTGGACGCGCTATAAAAACCATAACAGGTGGTACATATACTTTTTACAGCAATTTTCTAGATTTTAACATTTTTCTTTTTTTTTTTTCAAACAAATTTGAAGCCATTCGAATAAACATTGTGTTCAATACTTGTGAAAAATAAAAACAAATAGAATCGTAAGAAGAGAATGTAAAAAAAAAAAAAATATATAATCCACCTGTTTATGATATAAAACCACAAATATGCGCTCGTGCGCACATTTTTATGCTTATCTGCGTGTAGAGGAGTGAGCGTGATAATACTAATCTCTCGATTTTTTTTTTTTTTGCCATAACGCTTCGCGCCTTTTAGCATGGAATTATGTGTATACGATGAATTGAAAAAAAGCCATAATAATTTCTTTCATTTTTTTTTCTTTTTTTTCTTTTAAATCAACAAAATAGCAAACACCATAATACGAAAAAAAAAAAAACAAAAGTATGCACCGACAATGCGAAATAAACTATCGATTAAATTTTCTCTAGCAATGCAATTTATAGGACAATTTAGCCAACAACAACTTTTGCAGATAAGAAGAATTGTTGCAGCAGTTCATCGATTAATTGCAGATACAACACCATAAATCAATACTGGCCGCCGACCTGATGATCATTGTGATTGCACACACACAAAAAACAATGATCAATCACGATGAACAAAAATAATCTTCTATTTCTTCGACCTTTGTTCGGCCCTGCGGCATGAATGATTGTTGTCGTTGATTATCCTAATTATTATTATTATTCTTATTATTATCATTATTATTATGATTATTATTATTATTATTTTATATTATATTTTTCATTCCAATTAGATTTAGATTATTAGCTGTGCATTTAAATTATCAACGGAATGCAGTATTTTCTCTTATCAACTAATTATCATAACCTTTTGATTTTTCATTTTTATTTATATTATAATATTTTAATTTTATCTTAAATC